CAGAAAGGCCCCATGCCCCCCTCCCTCTCGGTAACCACTGCACCTTCATAAATGCTCCACGCTCCTCCCCCCTTAATCCCCATACCAACAAAAACTCCCTACTGTCTCCTGCACCTCCAAAGATGCTTGCAGTCCACCCCTTTAACCCATACAGCTACAAAAATTCCCATGGTCCCCTGCACCCCTAAAAATGTCTCACTGTCCCCCTCTCAATAACACCTGCACCTCCAAAAATAACCCACAGTTCTCCCCCCTTTACACCCACACCTACAAAAATTCCTGAAAAAAAAAATGCACATACAAAAATAACAATTATCCCCCTTCTCCCCCCACACCTAAAACAATTCACCACTGTTGCCTGCACCTGCAAAAATGCCTCACGGTCCCCTACACCCCCAAAAATTCCCTGCAGGCCTCCCCCTTAACCTAAGCAGGTACAAAAATTCCCCATGGTCCCCTGCACCTCCAAAAATGCCTCACACTCCCAGTTGCCCAATGATTAGAGATCACCATGGTGGGAGCTGCGAGCCGGCACAGAGCACAGCGAGTATGAGAGAGGAGAGGCTGAGACAGGCTGAAGGAACCAACCCTCCCACACCCGGCCTTAACCCCAATCCTGTCACTGCATTAACCCCTGACGGGCCAGACTGCTGACAGCTCAACCACACTTGCTGCTTGTGTAGTAGAATCCTCACTGATGGGCCCTGGACCCGCACACAGCATTGCCCTTGTCCACCAGTCTGCAGCTCCCTAGCCCTCCACACCCCCATAGGACGGACCCCCTATCATAGAGACCATGACGCCCCCCTGATGCGGGTCAGCTTATAGAAAAGTGAATGTCAAGCCAAGACTTTTTTGGGGGGGGGAACCGTCAGATTTATCCCCTCCGGGAGAGATCCCCCCCTGTCCCGGTGACAACGGTTGCACCAGACAGGAAGTGATGGAAAACCTCCAACCGCGAAACAAGAAATAAAAATGCTTTGCTTTTAAAGCTGAACTCCGGAGAAAAAAGGGAAAAAAACTACCCCCCGGCACTGCAAGGGTTAAATCCTCATTTTTGTCTAGGGGCGTTAAAAACCTGTTTTATTTACCCGATCCCTTACAAATTTAAAATTTCCCCCGGAGTTCAGCTTTAACTCTCACTTTGCTCACAAACTGCGCGGTTCTGACGCCGCTGTGGACGCAATGAGTCGCATATGGGGCCATACAAAATTTTGCTATGGGGCCCTGTGATTTCTAGTTATGCCCCTGCTTCATTGTGTGTGCATTAGAAGGCTGCTGAGCCACTGCTGGGAGGGGGAGCAGAGCCACTGCTGGGAAGGGGAGCAGAGCTGCTGAGATATTGCTAGGAGTGTAAGCTGAGATGCTGCTGGGAGGGGGAACTAAGCTGCTGAGACACTGCTGGGAGTGAGAGCTGAGCTGCTGAGACACTGCTGGGAGTGAGAGCTGAGCTGCTGAGACACTGCTGGGAGTGAGAGCTGAGCTGCTGAGACACTGCTGGGAGTGAGAGCTGAGCTGCTGAGACACTGCTGGGAGTGAGAGCTGAGCTGCTGAGACACTGCTGGGAGTGAGAGCTGAGCTGCTGAGACACTGCTGGGAGTGAGAGCTGAGCTGCTGAGACACTGCTGGGAGTGAGAGCTGAGCTGCTGAGACACTGCTGGGAGTGAGAGCTGAGCTGCTGAGACACTGCTGGGAGTGAGAGCTGAGCTGCTGACTTACTGCTGGGAGTGAGAG